ATTACAGCCAAGATGGTCCTTATTTACTATGCACAGGTTTGCTGTAGGTGGTTACCTTTTACAGATAACAAAAGAAAGAATGTTGCTAATTACTTAAAAGAGAAGGATGTTACCGATCAAGGGGAAAAGTGTTTGAACTGGTTACACTCCATAATTGGGAGGTTTAGCACAGATTTTAGGAAGTTTAAAGATATGCAGTAAACATCTGCTGCCTCAATCCAGGGTGAGGGAATTTTAGCAAAAGCAAGTCTCATAGCAGCCTAGGTACAATGCAGGCCTGATTCCCCGCAGGAGAACCTATCAGTGGGCGTGGGTCCTGTGTGCTGGACCTCACTCTCCACTGGCCTTTCTGAGTGGGGGCTGAGCTACATTTCCCATACCACATGGACAGGTTTTGTATACTAGGGCAGACCAAAAAATATTGCCAAATTCTCCCCTAAGATTGTCACAGACAAAATAAAAATAAAAAGCTCTCAGACAAAAACTCAGGGCCCAATGAGCACAGCCATGCCCCTTACCTGGCAGGAACTTTTTACTTCCTCCTAAACTCTAAGGACCCCCATAAGACATGCAGCCATTGACAGCTCACCCCTCACTTCCCCTCTGAATCTGTCTGATCCCTTTTCTCTGACTCTCCAGTGAGCTAAAAGCAGCCCTGATGTGGCTCATTCCTTTCTTACAACTTTTCTAATGAGCCAGAGCAGAACACCACCTAAGTTCTCTCCTGTTCCTTCATCTACTCTAAGTCCTTCTATTGTTTCACTATCCTTAGCCTTAATAAAGATACTCCAAAAATCATCTGGACCCATGCTGTGAAATCTTTTCTACACAAAGTCAAAACCACATACATTACAGGCTGGCTGAGAAGGACCCACTCTGGGCTACTTCCTGTACTGTAACAATTTGATTGTATGTCCCATAAATATTTGAGAATCTGGAATTGAATTCCAAGTTGCTTGACCCAGGGCATGGGACACCTGTCACTGTCCTATTTCTCTCTGTCCTGAGATTTCAGAGACCAGACCACTCTGGTCATGATGCCAACTGGCCTCCTTTAGAAAACTGTTCCAACCCAAGAACCCCCATGACAGGAGACCAAAAAATGAAATACAAAACAAGGGCTTACTGTAAAATGAAACTGTTAAAGAAAACCCATATGTGTCTATTAATTTATGGTTCTTTTTGCCTGCTGCCAATAAAAAACTGTGGCTCTCAATGCCAGATTTTGGTAAAAAGGAAAGGAACTATTTATTCAGAAGTTATACAGGTTGAGAATAATGGCAGAATATTGCTATTAAATCTCATTCTCTTTATTAACAAAGAAACACCCACAAACATACAGTCCTGGCCCCCCACACTTTGCCAAACCGGGCCAGTTAGGGGTACCATATCACAGGAAAAGAAGTAAGTATGTAGCTCAGCTAGGCTCCTGTTGTTAATCCAAAACTGCATCTTCATGGTGGGCATGGGCATCCTTCTGCATCTTTTCAAACCATGTGGCCAAGAGAGAGCTCCACCTGGCTGTTAAAACCTACTTTCCTGCTTTCTAGCCATGTGGTTAAGAGAGCTCCCTCTCCACTCCCAATCACAGGGTAAAGCCCCAGTATGGTTGCCATGCCTGAGTTTTACAGATAACAAAGGAAAGAATATTGCTAATTACATCAAAGAAGAAGGATATTTGCAAATGCAAAGGGAAAAGTAATTGAGCTGGTTACACTCATTCTTGGAAGGTTTAGCACAGATTTTAGGAAGTTACTTTAAAGATATGCAGTAAACATGCAGTAAATCCTGGCATGGAACTTCCTCCATAACCTCATTTCCAACTCCTCTCACACTGGGTTACACCTGCCAGTTATAGGGGACCGTTCCATGTGGCGTGGAGAATGTACCCAGCCCGATTCAGAAAACTGATGGGGACTGAGGTCGGCACACAGGACCCACGCCCACCAATAGGTCCTCTCATGGCAAATCAGGCCTGCACTGTACCTAGGCTGCTTTGAGGCTTGCTTTTACTAAAACTCCCTCACCCTGAATTGAGGCAGCAAATGTTTACTGCATATCTTTAAAGTAACTTCCTAAAATCTGTGCTAAACCTTCCAAGAATGAGTGTAACCAGCTCAATTACTTTTCCCTTTGCATTTGCAAATATCCTTCTTCTTTGATGTAATTAGCAATATTCTTTCCTTTGTTATCTGTAAAAGGTAAACACCTACAGCGAAACTGTGCATAGTTAATGATGATCATCCTGGATGTAATGTACCCAGAAAAGCAATAAAAGCCTATCCAGACAGAGGTTGGGGCCCTCTCTGAGAGTAGCCATGCTGTCCCTTTTTCTCCACAGGACTTCTGTAGTCCATATGAATTTGTCTGTCCCAGCCACAATACACAAACACTGAGGGCCAGGGTCCACATCCGCCAGTGGTCTGGTTTCTTATACCTTTCTTTTAAAAAAATATATATATATTTTATTGATTATGCTATTAGTTGCCCCATTTCCCTGCTTCACTCCTCTCCACTCTGCAAAGGCCCTCCCACCCACATTCTCCCCTTTAGTTCATGTCCATGTGTCATAAGTTCTTTAGCTTCTACATTTCCCATACTATTCTTACCCTCCCTGTCTAGTTTCTACCTACCACTTATGCTACTTATTCTTTATACCTTCCCCCCCCCCACCCCTCCCACTTCCCTGTTGATAACCCTCCATGTGATCTCTATTTCTGTGGTTCTGTTCCTGTTCTAGTTGTTTGCTTAGTTTCTTTGTTTTTGTTTTAGGTGTGGTTGTTAATAATTGTGAGTTTACTGTCATTTTACTGTACATGTTTTTTTATCTTCTTTTTCTTAAATAAGTCCCTTTAACATGTCATAAATTAAGGGCTTGGTGATGATGAACTCCTTTAACTTGATCTTATCTGAGAAGCACTTTATCTGCTCTTCCATTCTAAATGAAAGCTTTGCTGGATACAGCAATCTGGGATGGAGGTCCTTGCCTTTCATGACTTGGATTACTTCTTTCCAGCCCCTTCTTGCCTGTAAGGTCTCTTTTGAGAAATTAGCTCACAGTCTGATGAGAACTGCTTTTTAAGTAACTGCCTCCTTATCTCTTGCTGCTTCTAGGATTCTCTCCTTCATTTTTACCTTGCTTAATGTAATTATGATGTGCCTTGGTGTGTTCCTCCTTGGGTCCAACTTCTTTGGGACTCTCTGAGCTTCCCGGACTTCCCGCAAGTCGCTTTCTTCTGCCAGATTGGGAAAATTCTCCTTCATTATTTGTTCAAATGAGTTTTCAACTTCTTGCTCTTCCTCTTCTCTTTCTGGTATCCCCATAATCCGGATGTTGGAACATTTAAAGGTGTCCTGGAAGTTCCTTAGCCTCTCGTCATTTTTTTTTTTAATTCTTGTTTCTTCATTCTTTTCTGGTTGAATGTTTCTTTCTTCTGGTCCACATTGATTTGAGTCTGTTTCCTTCCAATCACTATTGGTTCCCTATGCATTTTCCTTTATTTCCCTAAGCGTAGCCTTCCTTTTTTCAACTAATTTGCAACCAAATTCAACCAGTTCTGTGAGCATCCTGATTACCAGTGTTTTGAACTGTGCATCTGATAGGTTGGCTATCTTTTCATTGCTTAGTTGTATTTTCTCTGGAGCTTTGATCTTTTGTTTAGGCCATTTTTTTTTGTCTTGACACACCTGTTACATAGTGAGGGGTGGAGCCTTAGGTGTTCACCAGGGCAGGGCAACCCGGTCGCTGTGTTGTGACAGGGAACAATGGTGCTTGCTCTGCTCTCTGCTGGATTTCAGTCACTTCCCCCACTTCTCCCAAGCAAATTGGAGCCTTCTGGTGCTAATTCCGGGGTGGGTGGGTTTGTGTACATTCTCGGACCCTGTGGGTCTCTCCAGTGAGCTCTGCAGTGAGGCTGGGAGTTTCTCCTGGCACCTCAACCCCCACACATATTTTCAATTGTTGTTTTGAGACTTTATTTCCCCACACTGGGACCCTCAGTTCGGTGGTCTATTCGCTTCCCAGTTTCACCTCATTTACCTGTGAGCAAATGTGGGACTCCCCAGTCCACCAGCCACCTTGTGCGCTCCATCCCGCTCTACAATCTGCCGCCTTGCTGGGTCTGCCTGCTCTCACCTTGTGCACCCAGGGTCTGCCAGCCACCACTTTGTAATGACCCCTCTCCGCCCCTCCTACCAGTCGGGATGAATGAGTCTACTTTAACTCCTTGGTTGTTGGACTTCCATACAGTTCAACTTTCTATCAGTATTGGTTTGTTTCTAAATTGTTGTTGTCCTTATTTCAGGTGTGCGAGGATGCACGGTGTGTCTACCTACACCTCCATCTTGGCTGGAAGTCTCTTTTCTACCTTTCTTGACTGCCATTGTTAGTCTGGACAAATGTGGACTCATGAAACAGGGGCCATCTCCCTGGCTTTGAGCAAGCACAGCTTTTAACATATTAAAACTCTGGCCCAGATTTTCAGATATGCAAGGTAGCTCTCAACGACTCTGCTCTACTTGTCCCATCCCCCAAGTGATAGCAATGGGGGTTTTCTCCATTTGGCAGGACCTCCAGTTCAGCACCCCATTACAAAATGACCGGACTTTTTAAACTAATGATGAATGTTAATATTGGAAATGATAACAAAATTGTCCACTGGATTGTTAAAAGTATAAAGGCAGTACATAATATTAAAACAGCATTTCAGCCCTGGCTGGCGTAGCTCAGTGGATTGAGCGCAGGCTGTGAACCAAAGTGTCGCAGGTTCGATTCCCAGTCAGGGTACATGCCTGGGTTGCAGGCCATGACCCCCAGCAACCACACATTGATGTTTCTCTCTCTCTCTCTCTTTCTCCCTCCCTTCCCTCTCTGAAAAAAAAATCTTTAAAAAAATCATTCCAATAAAAAAAGGACATTTAACAAAGCAAGAAAAAAAGAGATGAAATTCCAACATGCATCTTTGTTGTCTTTGTCCTTTTGTTATAGAAAACCACCAGAAACTCCTATCAGAGTAGGCTGAATGTAGGATCAGACATGTAACAAAGATACAGACAGCAAATACACATCTGAGGCCAGGCTCACCATAAATCCTTAGAAAAATGCAATCAAACAATGAGGTAGCTCTAGAAAGTTTTTTTTTAAGTTTATATAAAAAATGACTTACCAACCAAATATTTACTAGGATGTAAAGGAGCTGAATCTCACACACTGGATCACAAACTGAGAATCTCTGTACTAAAAGATTCACCTACTCTACAACTCAAACTGTGCACTATGTTATTGACAAAGGTAAATGAAACAAACATATGTCCATGTAAGAAAATTATACATAAATATTTGTACCAGATTTAAAGTAAAAAATTAGAAATTACCATTTTGAATGGATAAATTTGTAGTGCTAACTTCAAAGATTAAGAATATTTCTTAGCTAAAACAGATGAGTTACTAATATTTCAACAAATCTCCAAACACATATGCAATGGAAATGAAAGAGGAAGAGTATTGTTATTCTCAGTTATTACAATGGAATGTAGATCAATGTTTACTTACAAAACTGTGAAGGGATGAGAGAGATTAAAATGTCCATGAAATAAATTCCCAGTAACAATGACAGACAGTATTATGAAAATGGTGATGGTCTTAATATTATGCATAAGTGAACACTGATCAAGTATTATCCTTGAAATGTAATATTTACTAATTAAAGCTTTTAAAAATGGTACAAGACTACAGTAAAAATTTTGTATGTCCAAATATTTTTAAAAATAGGTTTAGAAATTCTATATTCAAAATATATTCTCATATGCTCTAAGTGAGACTGCCTCAGTAACAGCAAATATAGCCAATGATAAATACTGAGACTGCTGGCTGGGTCAAAATAGCAACATCCCTAAACTATAAATACACTTTATTTTTCTTTCTACAAGGGCACCAGTGGCTTTGACATGAAATATTTTACTTTAGAAAGAGAGAAGGAGGAGAGGGAGAGGGAAAGAGAGAGAAATCTCTATTTGTTGTTCCTCTTACATATGCATTCATTTGTTGCTTCTTGTATGTGCCCTGACCAGACACTGAAATCAGAACATTGGCATATCAAGATAACACTCTAACAAGTTGAGCTGTTATTACCGTCAGAAAACCTTTTGATTATATTTAATGACAATGACTGACACTATGTAAGAAAAATATTCCTCCATATCCATTGATTTTTGTACACACTGATCCTGCAGTCTTTTTCTCAGAAATGTTTCTGGTTGCACACTCAAAAGAGGCATACTCAATGGCATCTCAATGGCTGCAGTCCCCTCCAGCACCTATTAGGCCAGTGTTTCTGTTGTAGTCAGTCTCCCCTAACCTCTGTGGGGCTACAACTAGTGACCATCACCCATGAAATTGCACACTTCATGGTACATGGATCTTTGCAAGACATGGGCCAGAGCTTCCCTTCAAAATAATTGGCATACTTTACAAACAAAAAAAAATGCATGCTGCTCCAAGATGTATCTGAGGTTGTTAGACCTACTGCTTAATTGGAGTGATCTCTGTGTCTCCTAAAACTCACAACATTGAAGCTTCTCATGAGAACCAGGGAGCACACAATCTTTGCTGGGTAGATATAAGCAGGAATGCAAGTTTGGAAAAAACTGCTAAGTTAAATTCTGTACCAAACTATCCCCACAGAGGCAGAGAAAGTTTGAGACACACATGAAAGTTGTTCACCTCACTATGCTTATAAGACCCAAAACTTTTTATAAATTACCCTATTCAATAAATAGAACACCCAAGATTAAAGAAGACTTAAGAAAAAGGCCTTATTTTACAAACCAAAATGTGATTAGCTTGGCAGTTCCTATATTTGTGTCTTGTGGACACTCAAAAATTACCAGTGGTACGTAAAAAAAGCATGTCACCAAAAAGGCAATCCTTCTGCAGGTTGACAGCTGAACTCAGATGCTTTTCTCTAGGCCAAAACTGAGCAAGGTCTATGCCAATTAGTAGGAATGGAAGAAATAAAGCCCTGGGAAGTTAGGCTACTCCTAATTTCCTTCCACAAATCAGAGAACAGTTGCCTTCTCTGAGCACATTAGGATGATGACTCATGTATCTCTGGGAACATTTGAGGTGCTGAAGTATCTTCAGTACAGAAATTTGCAGTGACATGAATCTGGAAAGAGACCTGGGTAAATAAAGTGCAACCTGTACACACAGGCCTCCCATATAAAGAAAAATTATGAGGGACTTCCCTACTGTTCTTGTTTGGCTGTATGAGGTTTGATTCCAAAACGTAAGGTTTAAAAGAGTTTCCTACAGTATTGTTCACACACACACACACACACGCACAAAAGTGTGCATTTCCTACATTTTCTAAGACCTCCCTCCCACGTGAACTCTTATGTGTGGAGGAATGATAGAATAATTTTGGCTAAAATATTTCCCACATTAACAGCATTTATAAGGCCTTTTCCGTGTGAAGTTTCTGATGACGATGAAGTTGATGCTTTTGGATGAAAGATTTACCACACTGACTGCAACTATAAGGCCTTTCTCCAGTGTGAATTCTTTGATGAAAACGGAGGCCAGTGACACCACGAAAAGATTTCCCACATTCACTGCACTCATAAGGCCTTTCTCCAGTATGAACTCTCTGATGACAATGAAGATGATGGACTCTTTTAAAACATTTCCCACACTGAGTGCATTCATAAGGTCTTTCTCCTGTGTGGAATCGCTGATGATAACGTAGACCAGTGCTACTGCAAAAAGATTTCCCACACTCACTGCACTCATAAGGCCTTTCTCCTGTGTGAACTCTCTGATGAATACGGAGGCCAGTGCTACTACAAAAAGATTTCCTACATTCACTGCACTCATAAGGCCTTTCTCCTGTGTGAACTCTCTGATGATAATGGAGGTTAGTGCTACTGGTGAAAGATTTCCCACACTTACTACACTCATAAGGTCTTTCTCCTGTGTGAACTCTCTGATGATAATGGAGGTGAGTGCTACTGGTGAAAGATTTCTCACATTCATTGCACTCATAAGGCCTTTCTCCTGTGTGAAGTCTCTCATGACAATAAAGGTTATAGGTACTTTTAAAAGATTTCCCACATATTCTGCACTGATAGGGCCTTTCTCCAGTGTGAACTGCCTGATGACGATGAAGGATCGATTTTGCTTTAAAAGATTTGCCACATTCACTGCACTCATAAGGCTTTTCTCCATCATGAACTCTCTGATGAGAATGAAATTCACCCTTTTGTATGAAAGATTTCCCACATTTGCTGCACTGATACAGCCCTTGCCCATTCTTAACTCTCTGATAACAAAAACTAGGAATTCTAGCAAAACATTTTCCACAATCATGGCACACAAAACACTGTCTCCAATGAGAAACGCTCTTGTTCTGAACATATATGTGACTGCAGTCAACAGCTTTTTTGCATTCTTTCAGGGTGGAATAATTTTTTCGTTGAATAGTCACTCGAATCATTGAGATTTCATCCAGTCTGTCCCTCGTGGGAGTAGCCTCTTGACGGAGATGTTCTGACTTGGTAGGGATGTCCAATCCAAGCCCCCAACCAGTAAAAAGCTTCTGGGACATAGTGTAATTGCAACTCTTGGCAAGTGACATCCTGTCCACACCTCTCACAAAAGGCTTCTCTCTCAGGTGGTGCTCCTGGTGCTGGTAAATATTTGTACTGTAATGAAATGGTTTTACACATGCTCCACACCTCAACAGTTTCTGGATGTTTTGTGCTTTCTGATGCTCAATCAAGTGGAAAATATGTCTCAAGACGGGCTCACAACTCTCAAAGTGGAGGCTCTTCACTGAAGACAGAGCTACCTTGAGATTCTTTGCCTGTGACATTGTTACAGGAACAGTCTGTTTAATCAGTGTTTCCACATCCTCTGCTCCACAGCAGCAACCTGAACAAACGGAAACACTGGTGAAGTATATGTTGACCTTATAAAGAAGGACTATCCTCAACGCACATGGCCATCTGTCACAGCTAGGGATGATTCTATGAAACCATTTTCAATAGAAGTGAGCCAGATACTGAAGAAATGGCCCCAAAAGTATGTCAGTGGTGGTGACCTCGCCACAGAAGAGATGCAAGCAAAGGATGAACCATAAGGAAAGGAGACAGGGTCTAACTGTTCTTCCACAAATGGTTTCCTATCAGACCTTTTCTGCTGGTGATGTAAGAGTGTGTAATTTGAATGAGCTCAAACTCATCAATATCAATTGTACTAGAGCATATCATGTTCAAGGTCAAGATAATGATATGTGCGTACTACAAGGGTCTGCAAGCTTGGACCAAAAATAAAGCACAGTTAAGGAAAAAAGAAACCTGTAAGAGAAATGGTTGAGGTGAAAGTTTAGACAGGTGAAGATTATCTGTGGGCTGGGAATGTGAGTGAAATGACGACAGAACTGAGTGGTTGACAAAGTGTCAACAATAAAGAAAAATCATTAGAATGGGGTGATGAACTTGTAATGGTACAAAATACTTTTAAAGATTTTATTTATTTATTTTTAGACAGAGGGGAAGGGGAGGAGAAAGAGAGGGAGAGAAACATCAATGTGTGGTTGCCTCTCACATGCCCCCTACTGGGGACCTGACCTGCAACCCAGGCATGTGCCCTGACTAGGAATCAAAATGGCAACCCTTTGGTTCGCAGGCCATGCTCAATACACTGAGCTACACCAGCTAGGGCACCAAATACTTTTAAATAAAATAGTTTCCTAATTATGACTTTAACAAAGTCCATGGGTCAAACCCTCTCCAACAGCCCTTCACCAAGGCACAACTGCCTCTGGGTACACCCTGCCATGGATGGAGTCGTATTTTTCCTGGAATACACAAATGATTCTTCCCCTTAAATCCCAGTTGAGTCATTACATGGAATATAGATGATAAAAATTCTGAGAGAAAAACTGAAGAGGTGGATGGCCAACACTGTGGTAGAATATCAAAGCACGAAAGATACCACAGAAAAAAGTTCTATGTGAGTGACTTTAACAAGATGGCCAAATAAGATATATGAGAATTCTCCCTTCCTCCAGAACAAATAAAAAGCTATCCACAAACAGAATCAATCACAGGAGAGTGGAATAAAAATCCAATTAAGACTAATAGAAAATTAGTCCTCACAATGTGGCTCTGTTGATAATGTGTCATCCTGATATGGAAGCATTCCAGGTTTGATCCCCAATCAAGGCACATACAAAAAGCAACCAATGAATGCATAAATGAATGGAGCAACAAATGGAAGACTCTCTCTCTTTCTGCCTTTCCCTTACCTCTCTGATATCAATTAATATATAAACAAAGAAACAAGCAAACAGAAAAAGACAAGCAGCAAAGCCAATTTGGAAAAACATAGAAAAGCATAAAATGGATGACTAGAAGATGGGTTGGCAAACACATTTGAAGATGGCTAGGATCAAAAACAAGGGTCATTGTTACCTTTTTCAACCACTAATTGCTCTAAGGTTGAACTTACTGAACAGTGGTGAAAAACACTGGATATTTCTGTTTCTAAGAACTGAAAAAGTCCTTGCGACATCTGTGAACTCCCCACCCCCCACAGTTTACTTGTCAGAGGACCCTACAGAGTTTCTCAGCATGATGCCAGAACAAATCCCTTGTTAATAACCTTGTCTAGGAAGACCACAAAAATAGTATGTCCCAGCAGTATTTGCCACCAGAGACTCCAAAACCCTCTATTGTCATTGAAAATAAATGCTTCCAAAGCAACTGTGGACCAGTACATTTTTTGTTATTCTAACATCAGTTCATGTAGCGTCAAGGGGACTAGGTCTGGAACTTGTCTCAAGACTGAAACACAACACCAACTCAGCCAACTCTTAAATCCACATGTAGATGAATCTATTTCTCCAGACAGAATGGGTCCATAAAAATGAAAGAAGTTACTACTTCATCAAATGCATAGGTATAAATACAGAATAAAAAGAAGTACTAAAAAGAAGAACACTACCAAAAGAACATAGTAATTTTCCAATAATTGATACCAAACAAATGGATATCAATGCCTTAAAAGGTACAGGGAAAAAGAACCATAAGTGGTAGGTACTAAATAGACAGAGGAACGTTAAGAATTGCACAGGAAATGGAGAAGCCAAAGACTGAGAAGTATGATCCATGGACATGAACTAAGAGGGGAATGCTACAGGGAATAGGGGTACCACATGGATGGAGCTAAAGGGGAGAAAAAACTAGGACAAGGCAATAGTATAATCAATAATACTTAATCAATATACTAAAAAAAATTGCAGACTAGGAGAAAATAAAATATATCCAAAACTCTAAATGCAAACCATGAACAGGAACCTGGTCTTTGGAAAAAATACTTTCCCAGAAACAAAAGCTATGGAAGTTCACTGCCAATTAACCTGACTTACTAGAAATGACAAAAAAAGTTCTTTAAGATAAAATGAAAAGCCCTGACTGGTGTAGCTCAAAGGATTGAGCACAGGCCTGTGAACCAAAGGGTCGCTAGTTTGATTCCCAGTCAGGGCACATGCCTGGGTTGCAGGCCAGGTCCCCAGTAGGGGTCTTGTGAGAGGCAACCGCACATTGATGTTTCTCTCCCTCTTTCTCCTTCCTTTCCCCTCTCTCTAAAAAATAAATAAATAAATAAATACATTAAAAAAGATAAAATGAAAGAATACTAAATAGAAACTCGAATACACAGGGAAGTATAATTCTCACTAGTAAGGGTGAAAATGAAATACAATTTACTATACTGTAGCACTGGATTGGTAGAAGGTGCACTAACTATCATAAAGGTTTAAAATTAAATCTAGTAAAAACAATGAAGATAACATTCTATACTTCATTAGATACAAAATATAAAAAACGTCAATTGTGACATCAAACACCTATAAAGGGATATGTGGAGATGCAAAAGATACAATTTTTGTATGCAAGGAAGGTGTTATCAGGATAAAATAAACTGTAAGGAGCATGAGTTGTTTCATGTAAGTCTTTTGCAAATTACCAGGTAAAATGTATATAATAATTATACAAAAGAAAAAAAGTGTCAAATCACACAGTCATCAAGTCACAAAGGAAGGCCACAAGACAAGAAGACAAAGAAACTGCAATAGGATGAAACCAATGAAGAAGTGGCAATAGGCACTCCTTAAACAAATTCCCAAACAAAAGACAAAGAGTGGCCCTGACTGGTATGACTCAGTGGGTTGGGCATCCTCCCACAATCGGCTAAGTCATTGGTTGGATGCCAGTAAAGACACATGCCTAGGTTGTGGGCCAAGTGCATGGTAGGAGATGAACAAGAGACAACCAATTGATGGTTCTGTCACACACAGATGTTTTTCTCTGTGTCTTTCTCCCTCCCTTCCTCTCTCTCTAAAAATAAATAAATAAAATCTATTAAAAAAATACATCGTGTGACTGAAGATATTTTTTAAATATGAGATACTATATATGCTGCCTACAAAGGACAGTAAATCTTTATGGACATAATCAGGCTGAAAATAAAGAGCTACAAAAAATCCCATGCAAATGAAACCAGAATATGGCAGCTGTAGCTAAAATCCTATCAGGACAAAAAGCCTCCTCAAAAACTTACAGGGGACTAAGGAAGGTCATGACAGAATAAAAAAATAAGTTAATTCATCAACAGGATAACAATTTTAAGTATAATGCACTAAACAACACAAGAAACAAATATGTTAAGCAAATACTATCAGATCTGAAGGCAGAAAAAGAAATCCAACATTAGCAGGTAACTTCAATATTAAGTCAACAATAAGTAGATCATCCCATCCAAAAGAAATAAGGAATTATTGAAGATCAACTGCAGTTTAGAGCAAACAGTACAAATAGATATATACAGAACAATCCATTCAATAACAGCAGAGGACGCACTCTTGTCAAGCACACATAAAATATTCTCTACAAAGATCATATGTTAGGTCAAAATCAAGTTTCAAACTTTGAGAAAAAATTCACATCAAATTTCTTATTTGATCACAATCTATGAATCCTGAAATCAATTTCAGTTTCAAGAAAGCTTGAAAATTCACAAATATGTTGAAATTAAACAACACACTCCTGAACAATCAAGGGTAAAAGGGAAAAAAACCTCTAGAGGCAAGGTAAAAAGAAACACAATCTACTAAATCTTATGTATAAAATTCATGAAATGCAATTCTAGGATGAAATTTTATAGCGATGTCCACATTAAGAAAAATAATCTCAGATAAACAAGGTATTATTACACCTAGAAAATGATAAATACAGCAAGAAAGTAAGCCCAAAGCTAGCAAAGGAAAAAACAATGTTAAATATTAGAAGAAATGTAAATGAAATAGAGATAAGACGAAAAAAGAACATCTAAGAGCTATTTTTTTAAAGACAGGCAATACTGTAAACCTTTATCTAGACTAAAACAAAAGAAACAAGTTTCTTATACCTTAAAAAACAATTTATGATAAGACATTACACATGACCCTGGGAAACAATACCTCATAAAAGATGTTGGCAGACACCATTAATTATCCTGCATAGAAAAAACTGTCAAATTCCAACTATAAACTTCTGAAATTAATAAACTACTTCAGAATCCTGTCTGAGTAGCTGAGATGGTAAGAGCATGGACTCCATGTGCCAAGATCATGGATTCAATGTCCTCCAGGGAACACTGTGTTCCACCCATTCAATGCATACATGGGTGGAACCACAGATCAATGTGTGTGTGTTTCTCCCAGGCTCCCTTTCTCTCTCTAAAATGAATAAGCAAAACTTTTTTAGTAATACATAAATAATTTGAGAAAATTTACAGGACACAAAACCAACATACAAATATCAATTCCATTTCTACCCACTAATTATAAATTATCTGATAAAGAAATGAAGAACCATAGCCAGGTGGCT